CCACATCCCTCCCAACAGATGCCTGAAGGTGGGTCAGAAGCTGTCCCCAATCAAGTGAGCTATAATTAGAGCTGAAATGCTATTTTCATTAGGCAAATGTTCTGGGCTTTCCCGCTGTGACTCCTGGCTATATCTGATAGGGACAGAACCCAGAACCAGAGTAAACAGGGTAGGAGCAGACAACATGGCTGGGAGGGAGGGGGAAGGAGACACAAGAATTAGAACCTGCTCTCGTATTCCTCTCCCTCTCAGTGTTGCCCATCTCATATATATATATATATATATATATTTTTTTTTTTTTTAGAGAGATATTTTTGCTATAGGGCATGTTTACTTGCCAGAGAGACAAAGAGAGACAGAAAGAGAAAAATCACACCCCAGGGGGGATGGCTATGCCACAACTCCCTTCTCTTCCATTCTCTTCTTGCAATTTGGGGCATGCACACACATGCACCTGACACTTCAAGTTTCCAGGTCCAGGATTTGAACTATGGTAAACCATATGGGAGTCCAGAAATGTAACCATTATGCCATCTGTTGGTCTCTTTCCTGGTGATTGTGAATAATACTATAATAAACATGGATATAAAGTATTTTTCTGACTGTTTTCCTACCCTTTCAGTGAATAACCAAGAGTAGAATTACTGAGTTGTACGATAGTTCTATTTATAGGTTTATGAGGAACCTCTATGTTCTCCACAGAGGTTGTACTAATTTAAATTCCTACCAACAGTGTAGAAGGGTTTCCTTTTCACGGCAGCCTCATTAGCACTTGTTCATTTGTTTTTTACTTTTTTTAATCTTAGTCATTCTGACTGAACGTAATTGGTATTTCATTGTGATTTTAATCTGCATTTACCTATGATAAAAGATGTCGAGCATTTTTTCATATGCTTTTTGCCCATTCCTATATCTTCTTTGGAGGGTTGTCTTTTTGGCTCATTTGCACATATTTTAGTTGGATTGATTACGTTTTTGGAGGTAAGCTGCTTCAGTTCCCCGTGTATTCTGTTATCTTTCTCTTCTCTGAGGCATAGTTTGCAAATATATTTCCCACTCTAAGGGTTGTCTCCTCATTCTAATATTTTTTAGAAATATAGTGGACATTCAACGACAGTATTAAATAAATATATGTCTGAGTCTAAAGTTCATCATAAAGGACTAAGATGGAAATAGACATATGGAAGTAACCTATGTATACAGGTACTTTTTAAAATCGTGTCTCTGGGTGAAATCACTTAGAGAGTAAGTGTAGCCAGAGAAAATAAATGGCTCAAGAATTTCAGGGAGAAGAACCAGCTTTTACTGTGCTGAAAAACAGCAAAGAGAATCTTTCCAGCAAAATGAAGTGATCAATTTTGTAAAGTAATAATGTCCTAGGACGCAAAAGACATTGGTGATCTTGATATTTTTTCTAAGTTTCTGACAAAATGTTTTTGTACTGTTTCTTTAAGTGCTGCCATTGGCAATGAAATATATGATTTGGTCTTTAAAAAATAACAAATGACTCTTTTTCATTAATTCATGATAGAACATATGTGCACATGAGTGAGATAGGGAGAAGCACCCTCCACAGTGTTTATTCATGTTATGATCATCTTCTTCCAGTACTTCAGCATGCCAGAATCCTGGGCATGTGTACATGCGCCTGGCTTGTTTTCAGGATGATCGAACCAGAAACTTAAACCACTATAAGCATATGGTTTCCACTTCTGCCATTCAGTATTCTACTGGTTGGGCGATAAAAGCTGGATGGAAACAATTCTTATTTAATGGCTAAATTATATTAAAATATATTGTGTGAATATATAATGATATGAGAGCTGGTGGCATGGTTATTAAGGCAGCTAAATCTCACATAATTGACTCCACTGTTCAAGTCCTAGAGTTGGCAGCTTAGAAAACATGGCTGGAAGAAACATTTAACAAACACAAAAAAGAAAAGATATCTGTTGATGATAATGTTTATTATAATGTCTTGGACTAGACTAACATGCATTGTGTTTATGCTGGGAAAAATCAGTGTATATGCTGTAATGATGTACAGTGATTAAATGTAACTTTAATATATATGCATATATATATATATATATATTACATAATAAAAATATCCTTAAGGAAAAAAAACCATAAAACATGACTGTCACACGCATGTGTACTCAAAATCCCAAAAGGAGAAATGGGGAAGGAATTGTGAGGGTGACCGACCCCATGGGTGAAT